GATAAGGCTTTCGTTAGAGCTTTGTGGTCTGTAAAGACAGTAAAAGCTGTACCCTCCAGCATATGTCGAAAGTGTTTGATTGCTAAATAAACAGCCAATAACTCTCTACCAAAAGTGCTATAGCGACATTGAGTAGGATTCAGTCGTTTCGAAAAGAATGCTAGGGGTTGCCATTCGCCTTGTACCTGCTGTTGTAAAACCGCCCCGATGGCAACGTCTGAAGCGTCTGTCATGAGAGACAGAGGAGCGTCATTTTGACGTCTGACCAAGAGTGTCTTGTCATTTAACAATTGTTTGACATTTTCGAATGCTTTAACAGCTTCTGCGGGCAAATGGAATGAACGACTGTGTCCACGTAAGCAATCGGTTAATGGTTGTAAAGCTTTAGCACAGTTGGGAATAAAACGCCGATAAAAATTAACGAGACCCAAAAATCGTCGTAATTTCTTAAAAGAATCTGGTAATGGATAATCTTTGATAGCTTGTACGTCATCAGGGACTGGTCTGATTCCTTGGCTATCGATTAAATGACCGAGAAATTTCAGTGAGGTCTTACCAAATTCGCACTTGTCTAAGTTGATAGTCATTCCGTATTGTTTCAGTCTTTCAAACACTGTCTTCACATGTTTCAAATGCTCGGCTTCGTCTGCACTTGCAATTAGTAAGTCATCGATGTATGCGTAGACGAAAGGGAGACCACGGAGTACTTGGTCAATTAGGCGTTGGAATGTCTGAGCTGCGTTCATCAGTCCGAAGGGCATGCGTACGAATTCGTATAAACCGAATGGTGTGGTAATGGCAGTTTTCGGAACGTCATCCGGGTGGATGGGGATATGATGATACGCTCGGACAAGATCAATTTTAGAGAAAACTTTAACATTTGGTAAGTTGCTAGCAAAATCGTGGATGTGTGGTATTGGGTATCTATCAGGTACCGTTTGCTTGTTTAAAGCTCGATAATCACCACACGGCCGTATTTCACCAGAAGACTTTTTGGGTACCATGTGAAGCGGTGAAGACCAAGAGCTGTTGGACGGTCGAATAATACCAAGCTCTAGCATTTTATCGAACTCTGTTTTGGCAATTTTAAGTCGATATGGGTCAAGGCGTCGTGGACGTGCAAAAACTGGTGGTCCAGTGGTTTTAATATGATGAACCACATGATGCTTCGGTTCTGTTCCTCGAAAAGAAGGTTGTAAAAGGTCAGGAAACTGATTTACCAAATTGGTATATGGAGATGCTGGTGTGCGTGTGACCATCAAGTTCAGTGATGATGCACGGCTAATCGTACCAGCAATGTACGTTTTATTGAGCGAGTCTATAAGCTTGGGGCTCATCGGATCAACTAACAGTTTGTGTTGCTGTAAAAAATCAATACCGAGGATTGGGGATGGGACGTCTGCAATGATGAAAGACCAAGTGTAGGTATTCTTTAAACCAAAATCTAAAGTCATTCGTTTACTTCCATATGTAACAATACTGGACTGATTAACAGCTTGGAGAGTAACTGCTGGGTCAGGATGTTGACGTTCCTGTGTAGACGGAGGGAGAACACTCACCTCTGCTCCTGTGTCAACTAAGAATGTAGTACCGGTATTTTTATCTGTTACATAAAACAAACGACTGTTAGATCGTAGGTTGCCAACAGTATTTTTTACACATGACGATATATCTTTTGGTTTAGTCTGAAAGTTACAAGGTGAACGGCACCGTCGTGCTTTGCTTCCATAACTACGGTGATACCAGCAAATATTATCGCGTTGTCGTGACGTGCTAGGGGATCGAGAAAGACGTCGACGAGACGAGCTTCTAGAACGGCTTGGTTGTGTGCGTGTAGTCAGTTTTGCTAACTGACTCAGTAAGGTGTCGACTTTGTGTTCTAGAGTCTGTATTCTATCATGAGTGTCTGGTATTCTGCTAGTGGAAGCGACAGATTGAGGTGTTGACCTTTCGTACATGCGATCCGCGATTTCAGTGAGCCTTTCTATGTCAATGTCGTCATCTCCGAAAGCAAGAACCTGCTGGATGTTTGCGGGAAGTCGTCGCAGCCAGATTTGATAAAAGAGACGTTTGTCGATTTCTCTTCCGGCAACTAGGCTTTGCATATGCCTCATGAGTTGCGATGGGGTTTTATCCCCTAACTCAACATTGCTTAACAGGCGATCGAGTGCTTGCTTATCTGAAAGCGAAGTGCATCGCAGTACCTCTTCCTTCAACTTGTCGTAAGGTGCTTCCGTGCTGGGTTGAACGATGTATTGCCGTACCTGCTCGGCGACTTCGTCTGGCAGTACTGTACTCAAAATGCAGAATTTAGCTGTCTGTGACGTTAGCTTATTGCTAGCCAAATAATGTTCCAGTCGTGCAAACCAAAGATGAGGGTCTCTGGGCTTAAAAACTGGTACAGTAAGAGAGATAGTACTAACAGATCCCAGCTCTAAGTTATCAGAGGTATTGGAAGGCATGTTACAATTCGTAAAAAAAATGGTTTAAGAGTAGGAAAATGGCAAAATTTGTGCACAATAAGAATATGGCAAAACAGAAAAAATGCAATGCAGGTGCTTACCACAAATTACTGCAGGTTGTGCTATGAGCAAACACAAAAATGAGTTCGAATTGTTTAATAAATATATAAATCCGCGAAAGTTAGAGTTTTAATAATCCAGTAAGTGTAACAACGCGTCGAGGTCAAAAGTCGTCGTCGTCGGAGTCAGCAATTTGTCGTCGGGGTCAGCAATTTGTCGTCGGGGCTCACCAATTTATTGCGTGTTCTATTTGACTAAATGAGCGTACACGTATTTCCTAGTACTTCTTCACGTTTATCAATGTGCGCAGACGTTGTGGCTACTAGACGCCCACAACGTAAAATCAGAAGGCACTTGTGAAGAGCATAATCGTGTATTATAGCAGTAGTCAAATTTCGAAAAAGTATCAAGGTAACGTTCAACAGTAAATTGGCAAATGTTTACGAAGTACATATAAAATCGGTATGTGTAAACATATAATATGAGTATGCAAATTAAATTAAAAACGTATGTTTATAGTTGGTACAGGGGTACTACAACCTGTCTTTCATTTGGGTCACTTTAGTCCAGAGTTACCAAATGTTCATCCATGTGTTGATTGTCATGTTAACAGGAAATATATATATAACTTACGGTTACTAATGCTAAAGACGTATACAACAATGTAACAGTTTCTGAACACAGATATTTACTATCTTTGCAGTGTGATAACTTTTACCAGCTTGCAATGTACACTTTAAAATATCATCACATGTACGACAGCTTTCTTTCCACCAAAGAAATTTAACTATGTGTAAATAGATACCGCTACCTGATACTAGGAAAATCGTTAATTAATTACCGTATGTATATTATACCTGTGAACACAAAGTATTACCAGACTAACGTCTATAAAATGCGGTTGTAAAATTTGGTTTCATTATTTGCAACAATCTGGGGATGCCTGTAAACTGGCATCCATCAAGCGCTACACTATGGAAATAAATATTACTGGTATTTTTTGTTTGTCACACTGAAGTATCCTATCTTTCATTGTTACTAAGGTATCTACCACCACAGAAATGGTTTTTAAAGTCGGAATCCGAGGTTTTATATAGGACGTTATAGTGACAAGCGAATAGACTAAGACGCAAGTTTGAGATAAAAAGCGAAAGCTGGGAAAAGCGAGGAAATAATAAAAGCACAAGTCGCCTTCAACTCCAATCAAATGAAAGTTGAAATGTGAACAAGTCGAGCTCACCAATGTGACAATCTACTTCCACAACAATATAATGATCAAAACTACTTATTGACAACGTGTATAGAACAAGAATGTAGCAGTTGTAGTTGAATGTGCGTTTAGTAAGCGAGCTGGTGGGTATGACAAGCGGGGTAGCTTGGCCATGCTTACTAAAGGAAATTAAACACTCAGTACAGTTGGTCAGGAAAAAAACCTTACAAACCATAAAAGGGCGTAGCTTCTTCTTGATTATCGGTCTCATCCATCTTTATTCCTTAGTCACTTGCTGCCTACTGGGATGTCGTAGCCTTTATAGTTCCTCTCGTATCTTACGTTGTCTCTGCAACCCGTTCAAGGATAGGATATTTACTATAAGAACGTTTGCTGTACACATAAGTTTAGGACTGCTATTTCTTGTGCCAGTAGCCTCGGATATAGGCAGTGAGTGAATATAATGACCATTTGTCTGATTTAATAGGACACTAAGAATCTCCCAGAATTCTTTTGCTTCGTCATTATATTGATTGTTATAAATAAGATGAGAGAAAATAGTTACTGCATCATTAGGAAAAAGCTCTAAATGATGTCTAGGTAAGCATAAAAATACACAAGTTGCTTACTATTGACAGTTAAACTCACGAAATCATCATGTGATTCCCACATACTGAATTACAACGCTTGTCTTCAACTATGCTAGAATTGTCACTTGTCTCACCAGTAACCTTGGGACTGCCACGGTCCTCTCTGTCCCACACTCTTGTTTCCTTGTTTGTCTGCTTATTTATCTCTTCATTAAGATTTTGCTTTAGACATCTATTTCACCTCCTTTCTCGGGACCATTTCCTCCTAGAGTGTGCAGAATATCTAACTGGCGAAAGGACGAATATCGAATAAGAGAATTTCAAGACTTGAATACAGGAAACAACTTACTCTTCGAATTTAACCATTTCGCTACTCTCTTCAAGTGGCGCTGAGGAACAGAAAAAACTAACTGAAGTCCTCTAGGCATTCTTTTACCACCAGGATGGTGATGTGAAATAATCTAAGTTTTTATTAGCTTGTAAGCTGATATTAGATATTGTGTGGCAAACTGGCATCTGTCCACAATAGCCTAATGCATAATTTATTTTATCATAATCTGTTAAAGTTTTTAAACCTCTGTTTAACGGACAGAAGCTATAAGCAGGCAGTCATAGGGTTTTATTTGCATAGGACTTTGGCTATTGCAAGCGCGGACTTCACATTGGACGGTACAGCTAATGTTAGATGTAGAAGTTGTCCCGGAGTTGGGTATACGCCACAAACTATGGGAGTTTGTACTGGGGATGCCCATTCAACAGATGATTGACATATTAAGAAAACAAGACTATAATATAAAAAATGTTGACTTCTGGTATAATGACAAGGACCCTTTCAGTTTAAATTTGGTTTTGGTTCTCTCTGGAGATGGTATGAAGTTTCATTTCGACCCATTTCTACAAAGACTAAGGGTAAACAAAATTGTTGTATAATTTGGTACAGATAATTGAAGTCTACGATCTGTCTTCCATTACTTTGCGTTATTGGTATGTTGAGTATTTTCGCTTTTTCTTCTAAGTTTTAGGTCACAGTATTTCAACAGCCCTTCTGTCCTTCCAACTATGCAGGAAGTACTGAGGATTTTTGGCTCGACCAAACCACTTGGTAGGTTTATCTTGGGGTTAACTTGCTTCGGCTTTCCCTCAATGTGGTAAATAATAGTTATGCATTAACTATGTGATAACCTACCCTGCTTGTCCATCCACTTAGAAAATGTGAATGTCCTTACCTGGAAGTGAAAACAAGAGTTTTGCTGTATTTATCTTTCGCCGAATTCCTCTGTTTTTGCTAATTTAAATTGTACTGAGTTGATTTTATATTCCTAAGGATGGATTCTATAATTACTTAGTTGGTAGATTATGTTGGCTTTGTAAATAGTGAGTGGTGCTGTAAGCAGTTCCCATCTCACTCTTACATTGATGGCTTTTTATCGTTGCATTCTGCTTACGTAACTTCCTTAGTCGACTTACCCACACTTTTTATTGCTCCCATCACCTAGTCTATCACTCATATTGAAGTCACCTTGATTAAAATGCCCCTTTTACTCCACTTGACACTGAAATGATGCAGCAAATTCAGAGTAAATTCAAACTTCAATGTGTAATCCTATCAAGTAGTTTTTGCAGTGTAAGTCGATATACATAAATCAGTCACTGAGTATGTCATTATACCAAAAGATATACTCTTTATGTGATCATGGAATGGACATTACTGTTTTAGAATACAGATGGTAAAACATTGTAAGCTATAAATAACACGTTTTAATTGACCTAAGATCTGACCACTACTCAGTCTTCATCAAATACTGAAATACGGAAAGTTTATTATTATAGATTGAGCTTCAATCTGAAAGTAATGCTTAATTTAATTTATAGCTCCGTTATTAAACGATTCAGTGTTTTCGGGAAAATGTGTCCGTTCGAATACCATAAAAGAGTTTGAATTGAAACTTATTTTCACGGATTCCCAACTTAATAATAGGTGACGATATAAAGATGAGTGACTAATTCGTTTATAGGTAATTACAGATCAGGTACTATCAAATGATCGTTGTAATGTGGAGAAAGTTGTCATAAATGTACGGTTATGGTATATCTATTGTGTTTGTACCATCCACGAGTATCTTACCCCTTGTCTTCACTACGAAGCATTCCTCTAAATTATAGGAGTATTTGATAATAAATCCTCTCAACGGATTGTCTTGTTTGTTGCTGGAATATCAAATAAGCTTTTCATATCTTGGATTGATGTTATCAAAAGGGAAATTAGGACATGAAAGTTACCTACTTACGGTAATTAGGTTGTTATCAACATATGACTATTTCCTATGACTCGCGCGTCGGAATTTCGACCACTAAGCCACAGGTTTGAACCCGCCCCACTTATTAATATTTGGATTAATAAGTAGTACCGTCACCTCTCATACGATAAGTAAGTCTTGTTCGTCTTTCTATATAAGTGGTCACTGAATATTTTATTGTTACTGTAATTATTTCAGTAGAGAATTAGTTCCCAGTTTTCATTTAGGAGAGATGCTAATGTAGTATGGATCCACCATGAGGTCAGCTGCTTATATGAGCAGTGCTTAAAAAGTAAGATGTCTAGATGGCTTTTGGAGTTGTTACGTTACTGTGAATAGAAATCTCAGTTGACAGCTTGAAACTCAGGAAAGTGACTAGCACTCAATGTCTGTTTTATCTTGCACTAAATCTTGAACGCAGTATCACCATATTTCATTTAAAAAAAAGTAATGTCAATAAACTTCTTATCCTTTTTCCTTTGCTTTCCTGTTTACTATTCATCAAACTTATCTACATTGGAAACAGCTCCAGCAGAATCAGATGGGGACTACCAACTAACCTATCGGGGTATTACTTTCATTTTAAGGAAATTCGCTACTGGTATAACTGGAGGAAGTCGAGAGTCAATCGAATCAAAATCAGATTTACTCGTCACACGGTTGTTCATTTACCTTGGCAGTAATTTAACAGAAGCTAAGTGAGTTTTCTTTTTGAACAATTTTAAAATACTTGGTCTTCTTACTTGTAAAGTCTTGTAGTGTTCTGTTACATAAATAATAATTAGTAGATACAGAAAAAGACGAAGACGTATGCGTTTGCTCAGCTGCTGTCGGTTATCAGCTGTTCCCTTTAAAATGTGCCGCAGCATATGTCTTATATTTTGCAAGCTCTATCGAGAAAACTGCAAAATACAACGCTTTCTAGGGTCTAGCTGCTCTGAAATTTTCACCTCAGTTGTTTTGGTCAACATTTAGGAGGAGTTCCGTAGATCATTTGTAGGGCATGTCTCATTAACCTGGAAAAATGAATGTTTGGAAATTCGTAAATTTATTAAATGCTTAAATTACGGTATTTTCAGCGATTTCCACACACAAACTTGTGTTTTTGATCGTCTCAGCTATGTGACACTAGGATATGTTTTTTGAGTGGCTCACATTGTTGCTTCTGGTGATCCATTTGACTAGGTATTCCGGTTTTTACATAGCGTTTTTATGTGATCAGCAAATAAATTAAGCCTGAATTAGCATGAAATACTTCAAAACCTCTTTGTAAGACCTTACTTTAAGAAGGCGCTTTTATATCGGACATTGCCTCTAAATAATGCTATCATTTAGCAGGACTTCCTGTCCATGATCTCATGCAATTGTATTTTGACAAATGAGTCGCCTGTAGAAATCCGTCTTAAACATTCCTTTTATATATGCTTTTACGAAGTGTGGAAACTTGAACTGTTGCACTTTTTTAGAAAGAATTTTTAAGTTATTTGAGTTCAGAATAGTCTGGGTCTTAGATATTATACATGGCAGTCTTCACTTTTCCTCTCAATGTAGTAAGAAAACTTTTATTTGTAACAAATTAAAGAAGCTAAGATGAGTAGTGAAACTGAGTAACTACTTGTTAGTGTGCGTAACATGTACCGTATGGCCAAGCGGAAACGGTTTGGGAACACATTTCCTCAGTAATATGTGATCGAGGCTATATGTAAAATTGCAGTCTGTTAGTTTAAAAGTGGGGGCCTAAACCGTTGAGTTAACAATTCCTAGGGAAACTAACACTTTATTCAAAATCGAGTAGTATCCCCAGTTTAGGTTCATTGTATCAGCGTTCGGATTTTTTTTCGGTATTCGTGGTTCGGTAGTTACATATTCGGTCTAGTGCTAGTAAATTAATGAAGAGAGCAGTGGCATCCAGAAATATTATTCTCTCAAATTAACGAATTCAGATGAAATTCACACTGCGTGCGATGATTACGATTATTTCTACATGGCGGGAGAATGTCTATTAGCCATTTAACAATATCATGATATGGTATCCTGGTAGAAAATAATGCCTTTGCATTCTATCTCTCTCCGCTAATACTTCCCTCATTGAAAATGTTTTTCTTTCTGAGCAAATTCATCAAGGAAAATAATTTGTCGTGTGCCTTCCAATCCACCAGTTGAAAGAACTTCTGACGTTCACTTTAGCTTATTACACTATTCTCTTTTAGATGCATTACAGAACACCGTATGGCAATAGGAAATTCGTAAAACTGTATACTACTGATTGACTGATATAAGTAGTTGTATTCCTCTCATATCAACCAGTAGGGCTTGATGGTCAGCCACATCGAGGTGATCTAAACGCTGAATGGCTGTTTCGCCCATTTAGGGCCGAGGTCATCAGCAGTGCATCACCCGATTTGACACCTCACGCCAAAGAGTCGAATCAGTTGAAATCATGTGAAAAACCAATAGGAAATTCGCCACATGAAATGAATTGGCAGATAAATACATATTTGAGGGAAAATAGCCTCGAATTGGAGTGCCAACCACTGTCGAATTTGCTTTCACACTTTGAGTCCTCTACAATATATCCTGCTCTTTACTTAACAAAAACAAACAATAAGGAACTGTAGTAGGATCTGTATTGGTTTCATCTCTCATTTGCACAGGAGACTTTCTTAGAATAAAGTGCATAATTTTACAAACTCTACCGAAGCACTAGTACATCGGTGTTGCAGCGGTAGAACATTCACCAACCACTCAGGTGGTTCGGGGTTCGATTCCCGGCCGAGGCACTCCTAGAACTCGCTAAGCCGGCAGTAAAGAGGGAAGGTTGGGCGTGTGGCTAGCAACCCCACCCCGTGAAAATAAAACCACTGCTTTTGTTTGAGTCATGGCATTGGATTGGGTAGCTGCTTTTTGTCTAACCGCTATCCAGACAACCTTTCTGGCATGGTAGGACCTACAGGAACTTAAGTTCCAGCCAGTGTAGCTCGTTGGGTCATTGCGATATGCAATCCCCACCACCACGTCAAGGTAGCAGCTTTCGGTCGGGCTCGGGAGACGCAAACATGAAAAAACCAGGCAGGTTTTAGGCCAGGTAGAGGGTGTATTGATCATATCTTCATCCTTCGACAGATTCTAGAACATAGGCATTCCTACTGGCGTCCGACAATCATTATTTTTCTTGACCTAAAGGCGGAATTCGATTCTGTCGACCGAGAGGTTCTCTGGCGATGTTTGGCTGTAAAAGGAATGCCGAGAAAATACATTGCACTGATTAAGGCACTCTACTCGTACTCATGCAGCCAGGTGAGGGCTTATGGCGAGTTGTCATCTGAAGTGGTGACAACTAGTGGCGTCCGTCAAAGATGCCCATTATCCCCATTACTATTCAACTTCATCATAGACGTACTAATGGACTTAACCGTAACACACTTCAGCGACTCAGGGATTGACTTGCTACCAGGGAATAATCTCGTCGACTTAGAATATGCGGACGATATAGTCCTTCTAGGTGAGGACGCTGACAAAATGCAGAGTCTACTGAACACCTTGAACAACAATCTTCGTATGTTTGGCATGCGATTCGCCCCTGTAAAATGTAAGATGATGCTGCAGGATTGGACTACACCGACCCCTAGATTAGAAATAGGAAGTGAAGTGGTAGAGCACGTTGACCACTTCACTTACTTGGGAAGTACCATCAGCCCCAACGGGTTGATCTCAGACGAAATTTCAGCACGAATACAGAGGGCTAGTTTCGCATATGCCAGTTTACGCCGTCTCTGGCGTAGACGCGATATCCGACTATCGACCAAAGGGCGTGTGTACTGCTCAACAGTCCACTCCGTCCACCTTTATAGCTGTGAGACCTGGTCATTGAGAGCAGAAGACATGAAAAGATTATCTGTGTTCGATCATAGGTGTCTGGGTTCTATCTCCCGTGTGAAGTGGTATAATAAGGTGAGCAATACTGAGGTTAGGCGTCGAGTGCTAGGTAAGGCGGGGAAATCAATCGACGAAACTGTGAAATTACATCGACTGAGATGGTTAGGACATGTGCTACGTATGCCTAGTCATCGCCTTCCTCGACAATGGGCAATGTTAGCTGATATAGGGCCAGGCTGGAAAAGAGCTAGCGGCGGTCAAACGAAAACATGGCACCAGTCAATGAAATATACAACAGTTAGTCTAAGCCACGTAGGAAGATGTAGACTTCCTGACTGGTTGGGGTCCTCGGGACGGTAGAAACCAATGGCTGGAAACAATTGGTGACATGGCTCAAAATCGTTCTCAGGGGCTAACGCAGATGCATCCACTCCTTGTGACTTATGATTTCCAATGAAACTGTTTTGCTCTCCGTTATTACTATTCCTTTGTCTCACACCTCTGTTTACTGACTATATTATGCATTTCTTCTACTTTCTTCTCTTGCTTTGTGTGCTACATGGAGTGTGGCGACTTGAACTGCCGCACATATGTGCAAAGTTCTATGTCGAAAACCGACCGAAAAAAACCACTGCTACTGAAGCTTCAGAGTTCTAGCTTGAATCCCTATGTTCCACTGGGGACGAAAGGAATAAAATAGTATCGAAACACTTGTGATTCACGTCAGTGTGTTATTACAACACATCTACTTATTTTTACTACGCCACAAACTGGCTTCCAGGAGCTCAGTATAAAAATCTTTGAGCAGACATACGTAAAGCATTTTCATGTTAAATAAGCCGATATTTTAAGACGATATCAATTGACTAACGATATCAGTAATTCCGATATAAACACATCAACTCTACCATTATTAGTGTGGTGCTTGCAGCTCTACGGAAAAGCGTGGTGTAGGGCTGGCTGATACATATCTTAAATTTCTCCTCACTTAAACAGTTTAGATCGTCAACCCTCTAGGTAGAGTAGCTGATGTACACCTGAGGAAAATGTGATTTAGACCTTCATCAGGTGAACAAGTATCATGAAGTGAGCATATAGTACAGCTTCTGTTAAAATGGTGGTGTCTTAGTTTAGTTATCCAGGCTTCATCGCAAAACTGTTGTTCACCTAAGAAATACTGAAAAAAAATTTTTTTTTTATTCCTTCACGTTCCCAGTGGAACATAGGGCTCCAAGCTAGAGGCTTGAAGTTTCTTTAGCAGTGTTTATTTTTTACAGGATGAGGTTGCTAGCCTCATGCCCAACCTTTCCCCTTTACCAACTTTATTTCTGGCTTAGCGAGGTAAAGGAGTGCGTCGGCCGGGGATCGAACCCCGGACCATGTGCATGGTCGGCGAGCATCCTAACCGCTATGCCACCGACGCACACTGAGAAAATTACTTGTTATATTTGACCCTAGTCACCACTTTTTCTCATCAAATAAACCAATCTGACATATATTCTCTCCTGGAATTTGTTTTTTTCTGTTTAGAGTTCCAGTTGAATTACCCAGTGCATGTTACTTACAAAATGTTTTCTTGGAAAGACTTCAGGTGAACAGGTCAAATAATGCGACAACAAGTTTGACATTACACCTTGTTGCTCAAGGTAGGTTATTTTTTGAAATTTGAATTTATTTCGATTTCCCAACTAGAATTGTCTTATTTTTTTTACTTTTCACCTCTTTGAAAGAAACAAACCCTATTGATGTATGCATTGATAATCCTCTTAACAGAGCAATTCATTAGAAATGCTAAGGTAACAGCTGTGTTATTTCATGGAAAATAAGGTAGTTGAGTTTTTATTTGAACTCAAACCCGCCTGTACTCTTGGTTCTATATTCATGTTATTTGTTGAAAATGGTCACTGCCTTTTACTTTTATTTCTTAATTGCGTAGTGTTAGTTTCACTTAAGGTGTGTATGACTTAACAGTGTGTATCTAATGTGTTTCTTTCCTACTCATTTGTCGCTGGTTCACTCGTAGTTTGCTTGAAATTCTTTAAGACTGACCGACTGGTTTCAACGTAGAATTTCGCGCAGATGTGCAGCAGTTCGAGTTGCTGCACTCCACGTAGCACACAAAGCAAAAGAAGAGAGTAGAGAGAGATTTCAAACAGAGATGTAGCGAGTTTGGAGTAATAGTTATGAGACTTTCTAAATGGTTGATTATTTTGATTGGACACCAGTTAGTGTCCTTTGTTTGCTGCAGACTTAATCCTATCAGTCAAGTTTACAATGTGACCACCATGCAACTAGGTGGCTCACCATCACGATGCACTGTGAACTGTTGTTATTGGATGGTTCGAATCTCAGAAGGGACAGATTGCAGATACACCTTACTGACTGCTGAGTGCCAGCCAACAAGCACGAAACCTAGGTGGAAGGCTTCCTGCCGATTCCCTCCAACCAACTAGTAACAGTAATTCAGAGTGCCCCATGATGGCGAGCCACCTAGTGGCATGGTGGCCGAATTGCAAACTTGACTGATAGAATTCAGTCTCCATCAAACAAAGGACTGTACACATTACACCAGTTGCTAACTAGTGTCCAGTCAAAGTATCCAATACAGTCCTACGGGAGGTGAATCACAAGCCCGAATAGCTCAGTGGTAACGTCTCTGACTGACTGCAGCATTGGGTGACATGGGTTCGAATCTCAGAAGCAACTTGAATTCCTTCAAGGTTGCAAATACGCCATGCTGTGACTGACTGGTGAGTACCAACAAGCACGAAGCTTAGGTGAGGTAGGGCTTCCTGCCTCCAACCATCTGACTATTTTTGAAAGTTTGAAGAAAGCGTATTAGATTCCACTTTTCAAAAATAATTAGAGTATCTTTGATGTTTATTTTTGCGCATAGAAACTTATTTGATTGATGTGGTAATATAGGGTGAACTGAAGAAGAATTACGTAAAGTACAAACAAGTTAATAGAATTAGCTAGAATTGTAAAAATTAACAAAGCCAAAAGGTAGTTACAAGGGGAGGGGAAAAATCATTTAAAAAAAACTTTTATACATATTAAGGAGTAGGCCATGGCAAAGAAAGGAGCTGTACAACTTTCTTTTAAACACACAGATTTGGCTTGTTCACATAGGATTCCGATTGCCTCTGCTGTATATAAAAGTCGTACTCGTAGACCATGCGAGAGGTTGGGTGAGATGCGATAAATAACTTTAAAAGCTTTGTTAGAGGTCGACTTGATGTCCAGTGTGGACGAGATGAGCTAGTCTTGAGCTGCGTATAGCTTTACTCAGACCTTTGCCAAACTAAGATGGGAGGTATTCAGAAATTTGACGATGAACTTGCCTGATCGTACATCGTAGTGGTAAATACACTTGGAAGAGACGAAACAGGGCAGTTTTTCTTTATTTCTTGAAATGAGTATCGTTTAGCTAGTGTGAATGAACAGCATAACTTAACTGTGTTGAAAGTCATTTTGAAGGCCATTTTCAGATGTCGTGATGAAATCTCACTATTAACATCTGTGAATCGCAGTTTTAGAAAGACTGACTTTTTGGGAACTGTGTTCACCTTCAACTGTCTTTTAGTGTTGCGTGACCACGGAGCCCAGGGGACAACTGCTTGAGGGCCGGTCACACACGGCCTGTATGAACTGGTTTCTGAGATTGGTTCCGTATTAGTAAACTTACCGCCGGTTACGGACCACCGTAGGGTAAGTCGGGATGTACAATTTTTGGGGTCGACCTTTTCTAACCCCCTCTCTCCGGAGTGGAGAGGCAGCATAGCTGGCATGCTGGTCATCTGAGGGAAACACCTCACTGCTGTTACACCCCTGTTCCCCAGCAGTATGACTTCGCCCTCAGACCCCCAGCATAGTGTAAGAGAGATTCTTACACAATGCCGGTAACTGCTTTTAGTCTAATCGCTATCCTAACAACCTTCCTGGCATGGTAGGACCTGCAGGAACATTGGTTCCAGCCAGTGCAGCTTGTTGGGTCATCGCGATGTGCAAGCCCAACCACCACGTCAAGGTGGCAGCTATCGGTCGGGTTCACCTTCAACAGCTTAACCTGCTGAGTTCATGTGTTTCATTTGAACAAATGACTACTCTAGACCGGTGAATCAGACATCTGACCAAATTACTTTTGTATTGTAGAGTGCTAAAACTCAGAAAGTGAGTATACTGCGCAGTTGATATAGATTTCCGATGCAATCGTCTACAACATATTGTTCCGTCTGTTCGTTTAGTCATTAGGATATCCAAAAACGAGATAGAGTCATTTTCTTCTTCTTTCAACTATGTTTTGGTGCCTTCATGTTGGTGTTAATTGATTTCTTCGAAAAGATGATTCAGTGTTTATTGTTATTATTTTATTTTTCCTTAATCACACCCTCCACCAATGCCAATGCCACTGCCACTGACTTGTGATCTTTCCTTCCCTCTATTGTAGATTTAAATGTGAATCCTATACGTGAACCACAAGTTCGTCGATTTACTCGATCTTTAACTTTTGGAGATTCTGATCAGGTCAGTGATTAAATGTGTGACATAATTTTTTAGAAGAAAATAATAATATTGTAATAGTGGAATTCCGTGAATTTCGATGTTGTGTCTAGTTTATTGACAGTAACTATGAGACCACCGGTGGGGAATGTCAGCCGGCGGGGGGGGGGGGCAGAGAACTGAATAATGAGTTTGTTAGAGCATTTTTAACCTTAAGTATCAAGTAGAGGAAGGAGGAAGATTCTAAGGAAATTAAGAAGGTATATTAGTAGAAGAGTTAGAAAAACGACAAAAAAGAACTAACTGTTCAGAGGATGAACAGTAGCAAAAACATCTACAGGTTATTATGATGTCTAAACTGTATCCCTAAAAGTATTCGATTAGTGATTTATAGTATTTCCAGTATAAACGGTAGATAAACTCGGAATAGGCATCTTTACAAGCTATACAATGCAAGTTGGAGAATGACATAATTACATTTGGATTGCTTAGCCTGACAATGATATCTTTGGAGGCAACAGTAAAGAATAGACACCGAAGGCAAATGACATTGAACCGACCAATCAGATTCTTCTAGGTGGAAAGTGGCATTTACTGTGTAATAAAGTGTATTCATAATATATATATATATATATATATATATATATATATATATATATATATATATAAGAATGAATTATACAGGGTATATATCTCTAATATGGTGCAGAATCGGTCCCAATTCCTCATAGGAGTGTCTGTAGACATATCGATACAAAAATTCATCTAAGTGGATGTATATCATATCATTTCGGGAACCATTTACCATTCTAATACGTTCTTTTAGATGGACCCAGAATCTTTCAATAGAGTTTGTATGAGTTCCACTTATAGGATCCACTAATTCAGAAGAATGATTGACTTTATGATGAATATAGCCTAATGTTGATAGTCGCGAATAGCCTCTCTACTCACTCGTGTGCATGAATGGTAGTGCCCGGAAGGAGTAGTCGTTGTATTATTGGTATTAAAACGTCACCACTTCTGTTTTGAGATGTGTTCCACCCTAGCACCCAAACATAGTTGGCTCTTCTCCCACCGCGATTCATGTTTCGTTTAATAATAAAAGGTACTGTTTCGTCAATATGAACGACACCAATTCCTTGAAGTACACAAGTAATTCCAATGATGATGTTTTGTGAGGTGGTATCCCGACAGTGCTGACACCAACCACTGCACTTTTGACATTTTAGTATTCTCTCTTTCCGCAGCGGTAGCAGATACTACTGGTCGTCTCAATAGCCAATTATGGCATACACGCAATATTTTACTAAGGCAGAGTTTCGATTTCCAGAAGAAAGTGTCTAAATTATCACTGTAATTTACAACTTACCAACAACTCTTACAGACCTCCTGCTATGACAGTGATTACATCTGAATGCATAACGGTCACTAACCTGGCAATACCTCTGAAGAATCATTATCCCTCCAGATATGCATGTTTTAGCCTATCAACACTATCGACCCACTTTCCACACAGAAGTCAAAATCCAAATCTAAGTGAGACTTGCAACGAAGATTATGAACAGCATTCGTTTGTAATGCTAAGTGATCTAATCGGTTGGCTCAGGGTCATTTGACTGTAGTGTCTTCTCTCTTTACTGTTGCCCTTTCGGAAACTAAGAATTTCTGAACCTCCAAGATGCTACTTCTTTTTAACACTACTAGATGGAGTCAACACAGCCAGTGTAAAGGCTGCTTTCCTTTATATACTTTAAAGGTAACTACGACTTGTAGGATTTCGGTTAGGAAGAAATACACATTCGATGGTGTACTACATATTTCAAGAGGTATTCAAGCAGGAGACTGTTTCCAATAGATTTATTGTCAAGGATATGATATCTTTGAAAACTCTATCCGATGAACAGATATGAATTGATATCATTTAGAGAACCGTTGAATGCTAAAGAGTAGTAGTCTGGTCTATCTTCCCACTGTTGAACTTTTCAATAGTGCTCAAATGGGAACATTATTATTCCACTCTTCATTAGTTGTAAACTGCCCTCATTGGATTCCAATTATTGTTTAATTGATGTTGCCTTGTAACAAAGTCTTTCTTGAAATCATTAATGGAAAATTCCACTTTTGTGTAGTGTCGTGGTGATTGTAAATCCACGAACCTCGCAGGGATTTTGAAAAATAGTTTAGGTTGGTAATTTTTTGTAGAGTTTTAGTCTAAGATAGAATTAATGTCTAAAAGTTCTTTTTCAACTTTGAACTACTCTCAGTCACAGGCTTTGATCTCTCATGATCTCTATCCATCATGTGGTGACTGACTGACTGACTGAGTGGTTTCCACATAGAACTTTGCACCGATGTGCACCAGTTCGAGTTTCCACACTCCCCCCCCCATGTAGCACACACATCAAGAGAAGAAAGTAAAAAAGAAATACAAAATAGAGACAGTAAACAGAGATATGAGGCAAAAAGAATAGTAATATCGAAAAACAATATAGTTTTATTGGGTATTATAAGTCACAAGGAGTGAATGCATCTGCGCCAGCCATTGACAACGATTTTGAGCCATATCACCAATTGTCTCCAGCCAATGGTTTTTACCAATATCGAGGAGCCCAACAAGTCTGGAAGTCTACACCTCCCTACGTGACCGGCTTAAACTAACTGTTACGGATTTCATTGACTGATGCCTTGTTTTGGTTTGACCACCACTGGCTCTTTTCCAACCTGACCTTATGTCAACTAACATTGCCCCTGGAGGAGGGCGATGGCTAGGCATGCATAACACATGTCCTAACCATCTCAGTCGATATAACTTCACAGCCTTTTCTATTGATATCCCTTCCCACCTACCTAGCACTCGACGGAAGCCTAACCTCAGTATTGCCCACCTTGTTATACCACTTCACACGGGAGATGGAACTCAGGCACCTATTATCAAAGACAGCTAGCCAGGCTTTTCATGTCCTCCACTTTCAATGGCCATCATGTGGTAATCGATAAGGTTCCTACTTCAGTCTTCAAATCTGGTTACATCAAATATTACTACATACCGAGATGTTATCATCATCCTACTTATTAATTATCCATATACTATTCGGATTGATTTCTTTTCTCTCTCTCTCCTTCTTCAGGATGTCCTTTCAGCTTTAGGTTCACCAAGTCGTGTATTCTATAAAACTGAAGATAAAATGAAAATTCATTTGCCACAACCACATCGACTTGTACAACCCAAGAAATCGGATTATTTTTACAATTACTTTTCATTAGGTTTAGACATTTTATTTGATGCTCAAAGACATGAAGTAATGAAATTTGTTTTACATACAAATCAACCTGGAGAGTATACATTTAACACGTAAGTGTATTTGTGTATCTGTCTGTCTGTGTGTGCGTGTATGTTTTCATGGAATCGGTGTATTATTTCTATTTATTTATTTATGATATCTTTGGATGTTACGTCTCTCTTCATTAATATTCCTCTCACTGAAACTGTTTGCTTTATATGCCTCTTCATTGAGGATAAAGATATGGACGTGAATATTCCGACCCACTGTTTAAAGCAACTACTATTGAGATGCAGTTTCAATGTCCAGTTCTTCAAGTTCAACGACACGTTTTATAGACAAAGAGATGGAGTGGCAATGAGTAGGGTCACCATTGGGTCCTTTATTTGCAGACTGCTTTATGACAAGTTCAGAGAATAGTATGTTACGAACCACAATTGGTAGTTTTCATGTGTACCAACATCGAAATGATAACTGGGGATTTAAACAACTGCCATCCTGCTACCCACTTCACATCGGAATCAGAAATGAATTCGGAATTCCATTTTTTGGGTTTTGCTAAAAAGGAGATCTGGTGGTTCTCTCTTTAGGGAGCTGGATTATTCGGACTTAATTAACCATCCAAATATATAGTAAAAAATTACATAAATTGATGTGAACTCCTTTGAGACTCACTTGTCGGTAGACGTTTGTATCAATAGGTAAATGTACAAACAGTCATCACATTTGTAATGACCAATGTCAAATTGCCTGTATTAGTGTGGCATAGCGGTTAGGACGCTCGCCAACCATGCACATGGTCCGGGGTTCGATCCCCGGCCGACCCACTCCTTTACCTCGCTAAGCCAGAAATAATGCTGGTAAAGAGGAAAGGTTGAGCATGAGGCTAGCAACCCATCCTGTAAAATAAATACTGCTACAGAAACTTCAAGCCACTAGCTTCAGGCCCTATGTTCCACTGGGGAACGTGAAGGTTAAAAAAAAGTGTGTGTATGTTGTTTGTTATGTGGAAAACACGTCAAACAGGATAATATTTCATAATATGGTTATATAATATAAAATTGAATTCGTTTTTCTGCCTCATCTGTTTAGCTTCATTACAGTCTGCCATATAGGTGATAAGTTTATCCGTTCCCTCCTATTTATTGCATTTGACGTGGTTAAAATATGCAGGGTTGGCTTCATAGGTCAGCCTTTCTTTATGTGTTGTTGAATGAAAGCCTCTTCCTAGAATTTCGACATTGTTGAAATCGATCTCATGTCCGCTATCTATAGCATGCATTGTTATAGTTGATGTTATTTTCAAGACTCTTTAATTCTACTTCATTTCTAGGCGGAAGTTTTGTGCACAGCCTGTGTCCCTCATTCACTCTGTCCTTCACCTGTCTACTGCTTTCTCTTCCATGTAACAAGCTTCAAATGCTGAACACTTTATCCTATAGGCATGGTTGTTTTGTATTATTTTGGGAAACCTATCTTTGATGTTGGATATCTCATGTCTTGTCGATTTCTAAGAAAATGTTCCGTCTAACCTACTAACTACATTAAAAAGTTAAGACAATCAGGGGAATCACTCAACCTCTACTTTTACAATTCTTTTCCAACCCATAGTCTTTCCTGAGCTACTCAAAAAGAACTGTGTCATATTGCCAAGGGTATTAAAGGTTGTTTGTAGGGTAGGTGAGTGGTGTATCACTAAGTCAGCTCGTAACTACTGTAGTCAACAGACGCCTGTGATAAATGGTCTAAATCCATATTGTCTGATCTCAACACTCACTCTCTCTATTCTCAACTCTCCCCGGCTTGCATCTCATCAGGTAGGATTAGAAGTCATTATAAAAGACTATATGCGCTTGTAAAACCAAGTACGAAAACTCAGCGATACCCTATTTGACCGGTGGTCTGCTGCTGCTGGATTCAACATAGAACTTGGCACCTAAGTGCAGCAGTTCCAGTTGCCACGTTCCAAATACCACACAAAGGTAGACAAGAAGATGAGTGAAGAGAATCAATAGAGTTTTGACAAGTACAAGAGTGGAACAGAATGAGTAATGGTAGAAAGGAATACGAAAGATAACAGAGACTGAATACATCTGCGTAAGCCATTGACAACGATTTTGAGCCATGTCACCTATTGTCTCCAGCCATTGATTCTTAGAGTCCCGAGGGCCCCAACCCGGAAGTCTGCATCTCCCTACCTGACTCAGTTCAACTGTCAAGGATTTCATGGATTGATTGATGCCATGTTTTTGTTTGGCCACCACTTACTCTTTTCCAACCTGCACCTATATCAGCTAGTGATGCCCGTCCGTCGGGGGAGGCGATGATTAGGTATGCGCCGCAGCACGTGACCTAGCCATCTCAATCTATGTAACTTTATAGCCTCTTCTATTGATTTTCCCTCTTTACCCAACACTCTACGCCTAACGTCAACATTACTTACCTTATTATGCCACCTAACGCGAGAAAGAGATCGTAAACATCTGTGGTCAAAAACAGACAATCTCTTCATGTCTTCCGCTCTCAATGGCCACGTCTCACCGCCATAGAGAAGGACGGAGCGAACTGCTGAGCAGTATACACGTCCCTTGGTTGACAGCCGGATGTCACGCCTACGCCAGAGACGGTGTAAGTTAGCGAAAGCAGCCCGAGCTTTCTGGATCCGTGCTGTGATTTTGTCACCAATCAATCCGTTGGTGCTGATACAACTTCCCAAATAGGTGAAGTGGTCAACATGTTCTATCACTTCACTCCCTATCACTAAGCTAGGAGTTGACGTAGTCCAGTCCTGTAGCAGCATCTTACATTTCACAGGGGCGAATCGCATGCCAAACATACGAAGATTGCTGCTCAAGGTGTTCAGAAGGCTCTGCATTTTGTCAACATCCTCCCCTAACAGGACTATGTCATCTGCATATTCTAAGTCCATAAGACTATTCCCTGGTAACAAGTCAATTCCTGAGTCGCTAAGTTCAGTTAATGATACTTCCATTAGCATATCTATGATGAAGTTAAACAAAAGGGGAAAGTGGACATCCTTGACGGACACCACTGGTTGTTATCAATTCAGATGACAATTCCCCATAAGCCGCTACACGGCTACGTGAGTTTGAGTAGAGTGCCTTGATTAGTGCAATGTACTTTCTTGGCACTCCCTTCACAGTCAAACATCACCATAGTACCTCTCAATCCACGGAGTCGAAGGCCGCCTTCAAGTCAAGAAATATGGCAATTGTTGGACGCCTAAAAGTGTGTCTATGTTCTAGGATCTATCGGAGAGTGAAGATATGATCTATGCACCCTCTACCTGGCCTAAAGCCCGCTTGATTTTCCCTGGTTTGTTCCTCCCGAGTTCGGCTTAGTCTGTTCACGATTACTGAGCCTAGGATTTTAGAGACTATGTTCGTTAGACTGATTCCTCTATGATTATCACATGAGGACTTGTCTCCCTTCTTGAATATTGGTATGATAAGTGACTTACCCCAGTCTGATGGAACCGTCTCTGATTCCCAGACGTTACCTAGTACCTTAGTTAAACTATATACTAGTATGTCACCCCCATATTTAAACACCTCCGGAATAATTCCGTCGGGTCCTGCCGCTTTGCCTCGTTTCAAATTACAGATAGCTTTGGTGACCTCACTTACAGACGGTGGGCCAGTGTCTATATCCCATTCGGGTGTGTGCTGGATGGCGGGGAGGCTCAGTGTGGCTGTAGGCAAGTTAAATTGTTCCTCAAAGTGTTCTTTCCAACGTTCGAGGCGTCTATCCTGAGAGCTAATTAAGGAGCCATTTTTCTCAGAAATAGTCTCACTTATGATTTACCTTCTCCCACCCGTTTCCCTGATGAGTCTAAGGAGTTGCCTAGTGTTGCCTATCGCCGATGCTTTTTCCATCTCTTTCGCCTTTGTCAACCACCACTGTTCACGGGCCTTGCGGAGACTTTTCGTCAGTTTCCTTTTCTGCAGCTTTCGCTCCTCATTGAATTCGGAGCTCGCCGGAATAAGTCTTCTAGCATCTATCATCCGAACTGATAGATGCTAGAAGACTTATTCCGGCGAGCGGTGGTCTATGCGATGGAAAAAGCGTGGAACTTATAACTTACTATGTAATGAACAAAATTATTGGCTCTTCGGTCTTTTCCTGTTTGCGATTTATGGTGAAACTGTTTCATCCCAGTTTGTGACTCTTCAGCAGTGGGTCCCAGTGCCTGAATGGTCTACGAACTCGCCTTGTAATCAGAAGGTCCTGGGTTAGAACCCTGTCTGTGGATGCATACTGCTGAAGAGTCCAGTACTTCCATGTTTTCTAATAGTTCTGTAAACAGTGTCAGCTCATCATGAAATCCAGTAATCAATCAATCAAATCCCTAGGAAACAAATACTTGGAAACTGTTTCAATTATATTCTAATTTTTTATGTATTAACATTATTATCATTATAAGTTTACACTTTTTGTATTTTTTTTTGACTTTATTGTTTCTGTAAATACCAAAAAGCCGCTATTATCAATCCTGTAATATTATTTTTGTTTTTGCTGTTGTCGAGTATATTAGATGCAGTATTGTATCAAATGCTGAGAATTTCATACTGCTGTATCATAAGTACTGTCTCGGAATAAAGCAGTATTATTATTGCATTGATTCTCAACAATTGGTTTGTAACAAAACTTGGCTTGTAATCGCTGTCAGTTTTTTCTGCCGTATATTTAATTTCAGTTGAAAATGTTAAGTATACTTATCTCTTCTCTTCCCTTTATGTATAGATATTATCGGTGTCTTTTTGAAATCCCAATACCGATTGTAAAGTCATCGAATGAGAATATCAATGTAAACGCTGATGTTGACGATGAGAATCCATCAGAAGTAAAACGTAATCAAAGTCATGAAACCAAGTACTTGATAACACCATTCTCAAAAGTAAGTAAGTAAATTTTATGACAAGTTGGGACCAGTTGGGAGTGATCCACTTACTCACTCACTACTTTGTTGAGACTCATTATTTTCTTAAAGAATTATTCTTATTCCAAAGATTTCTCGTCGGATTTCCGAACATCACCCTGCGTGGTTAAGTAAAGGATAAACAAAATCCATTCATAGCGAAGATTTGTAGCTCAGGTGTATGATTTGCAATTAGTAGTGTTCTCTGAGCTAGTTGGTTTAGTTGCGGAGCGTTCGTCGTCCCCCTGCTGGACAACATCTTCAGCGCAATATTTAGCATAAAGTGAAATGATTTAAATTTCTTCATGAGTGACAGAATTGCGTCTCCCGGTAACCATCTTTACATATGTATTGACCATTTTCTATTGACTTGGATTTTAAACTTTCTGTTCACATGATTTACTTTTTATTAGTTGGTATATTTCGTCTATATTAACGTGTTTGTTAATTGCATTTTCGTTTGAGTACTAGGTTTCTAGGAATTCCCTGACTGCACTTTTGGTGTTTCCTCTGTCTAAGATTTTGACATTATCCCAATCAAACTGATGACCATAATTGTCTATACGCCACAAGCCAGTCAAATCGCTTAATTTGATATTATGCAAACCGAAAGATCCAACAGAAAAAGGAGATAAAATGAATACCATTTACAAAATAAATTGTATGAACTGCAACAAACATTACATCGGCCAAAGTGGGCATCCCCTTCGAATCAGAATCCAGGAACACAAATTAGCTGTAAAAGGACACAATATATATTCTTTCATATCAATGCATATAGATAATTAGGGATATCAGTTTGATTGGGATAATGTCAAAATCTTAGATAGAGGAAACACCAAAAGTGCAGTCAGGGAATTCTTAGAAGCCTGGTACTCAAACGAAAATGCAATTAACAAACACGTTAATATAGACGAAATATACCAATTAATAAAAAGTAAATCATGTGAACAGAAAGTTTAAAATCCAAGTCAATAGAAAATGGTCAATACATATGTAAAGATGGTTACCGGGAGACGCAATTCTGTCACTCATGAAGAAATTTAAATCATTTCACTTTATGCTAAATATTGCGCTGAAGATGTTGTCCAGCAGGGGGACGACGAACGCTCCGCAACTAAACCAACCAGCTCAGAGAACACTACTAATTGCAAATCCATTCATAGCGCTGTTCCATCTCATCTTGCAGATGCAGAACACAAGATTAATGTCAATGAGGCTTTCAAAGTCATTTACCGCATAACGACGAATCTTAACTCTACATTGAGAGTTCGTCTACAACATATTGCTGAGGCTGTTGGGATCTCTACATTAAGAAACCTAACTTATGTATCCAAAAGAAGAAGCTGGTTCAGACACTGTCCTTACCTTGCTGACCATCAAGTTTTTAGTGATCCTCAAATTTGTTGTGGAAATTTCCTTAATTTTATTTGATAATCTATTTGCTATTATATTTTTCTGTTTATTATATAACTTAAGCGTCTTTCTTGAACTGTAATTCCATTGTGATCTTACTTAACGCATCGATAACATTTAAAAACACCAATATGGTTAATGACGATTATTCTAGAAGAGCCTGAAGAGGAAATTATCGAAAAGGATATTCTTTGTTCGAAAGAAGCTCAATTTTTGCTTATTATAAAGAGTAAAGTATTATGAGTGTTTTGATGGAAACAGTTTACAATTTCCTTATTCTGTTGTTGACACAGTGACAGAACAGGATAATATGTTAAATTGGTTTTACTGGTTACTCAGCTTTCAGTGCAATGACTCCCTAGCTCGGATCCTGCTCCACCTCCTTCAGTTTGCACAATTGGGTACTACTGTAACCACAAAGACAAGGACCAGGCTGCGATTGTTTACTGAAAATCAAGAGATATTTATAGATTTTTGTGTGCATTATTTTCAGCAGAGAAGCAACGACTTCTGATTGGTTGTTTTCTTGCTGAAGGTTATTCTGTTATCTCTTTGTGGCCGTTTCTCAGAAAATCAAGCCATATATCTGCGAATCCTATTTGCACACGTTTAGTCTGCCGTAAGTGGTTATCAAGTTCCTCAAGGTTAAGCTGTGTTGTTGTTTTCCTCATCACTCCGATTCGGGACGTAACATTGACTTAAATTGCCGTCTACAATTTTTGGCCTGTAACCAGCTCTTACTACACTACCACCAGCTGAAGAAGCAGTGAAGACAGGATTTCAGGTGAACATGGAGGAGACGGAGGTGATGAAGATAACCAACCAACAACAACAACCAGCATGAATCATTATCAACGGAAGATATTCGAAAGAGATTACTTCCTTCACTTAATTGGGCAGCATCGTATCAACTGCAGGCGGAACGCGGATGAAGATGTCAAAGCTAGAATCGGGAAAGGTACGCTTTCATCACTCTGAAATCAGTTAGGAAATTCTCCCCTCCACCTCAGCATAACGCGGACGAGATTGGGATTTCCAGCACCAATGTTAAAGTCAGTCAGTCACTTTTCCTATATGGGTCAGAAACTTGACCATCGTGTCGCGAAAAGCATTTCCAACAGGCCACTTCAGACTTATATCAACAGCTGCCCCCCTCACTGGCTCTATATTTGAGATCAAATATCTGGCCAGCCAGAAAGAATTAGCAACAAGAAACTGTGGCAATGAACGGACCGACCAACAGCCATTGCCCGATGAATATGAGAAAATAGATTCGACACATGCACTGAGGACGTCGAATGTCATCGCGCTCAATGCAGGCCATTGTTCGAGTGGAATTCAAATAGGAAACGAAAAGTTGGACGTGTGTCGTGTGAGGAGGAGATGAAAGACTATGGTGAATTGTGGGATCAGCTGAACAGGACCACATAGAATAAGACGTAGTGGAGATGTGTTGCTGAAGCCCTATGTTCCATTCAGAATAATAATAAGTAAATATAACGTATACAAATGAGCTAGTAACGGTCCGCAATGTTTGTTTAAACTGAAGAGGTTTTTGACTGATTCATTTGACAATTGTATTAGACAGTATTTGACTTACGCATTGTTTTATTTCTATTGTCTTTGACATAAAAGTGGTCTGATGTACGACAACATTTGGATTCATCTGTGGATACTGAACCGGTGGTTATTTACAGAGAATCGAAACCACAACAGAATCCTTTTGGTCCAACACATGCCTACGGCTATCAGGATATCATTTTTGAGGTAATTTCGCCTTTTTTTTTACTATATGGTTATCTAATACGAATGTGATTGAAGTGGGTGATAGATTCGACCTGGGTTGCATTGTGAACTCCTATCTACTATGCATAGCTTTTAGCCTCTAGACATGTCACTGTAGAAGTCATGATTGACTCTATAACCCGTAGTTTTTGTATTGGAACTGTCTACAGAGATACCTTCCAACCTTTTTTAAATATTTTATTCCTTTATGTTCCGACTGAAATATAGAACTGCAAACTAGAGCTTTGATTTTTCTGTAGCATTGATTTTATTTTTTTTACGGGACGAAGTTGCTAGCCTAACCTCTTCACCACTGGGCTTACTACCAGCTTCACGAGGTTTAGGAGTGCTTTGGGTGGGGATCGAACCCCAGACCACATGAGGTGTGGTTGGCGAGCGTTCTACCACTGAACCACTGACACTGAGCAGCAGGCACCTACCGGGACCTTCCGATCACAAGGTGACTTCATATTCCATTCAGCCACGTGGACACGAATAAGTTTCATCCACTAAGCCACTCCTAGTGCAAATGTAGTGTCACCAATCAATAAATCAATAAGTTAACCGCATCCACTGAAACCAATATATATATATATATATATTTCCAAACCAAGTTCACTTTTAACAGTTTGAAAAAATTTGGGCATTGGGTATATGATATTCATTATAATAAAGGTTTTTGTATTTCCCAATGAATGAAAAACAAAACGATATTGTTGGTTTTACTGACGTTTCGCTATTTAATGCTAATAGCTGCTTTATCAAAGTATTATTAAACCAGAATTTACAAAATCTCAGCATATATATAACAAAGAGTTAAGGGGTGAGAAAATAGACTTAGGTCAAGTTAAAAGGACATATTGAAAGTTAAAATACCAATGAAGATCACTAAACCAAATAACAAAGGTAATAGTACATCTGTTATGATATCAAAATAAAGTTTACTAACTTGATCATCGTTCGTCTGTCTGGGGGCATTTTTCGTTGTCAAGTTGGTCAATTGGTAAAGATAACAAAATCAAAATCAAGTGTAGATTGTTGGATTTGATCAGTGTTTAAAATTATAAAGGCAGTGTGTGTTTATATAGTGAACTTGCTTATCACATTCGTGTTGATTTTGTCACTTCATGGGGGAGGGAGGTGTTGTAACCAGGTCAGATTCTGTTTTAGTCCGTCATTCCTATTCAGGCAATTTTGATTCCACTTGATATGAAGTGCTTCTGATATTAGACGTTCTTTATGATTTCCGAAACGCTTTTTCTGGATTATTTCAATATTGTCAAAATGAATTTTGTGACCTGATTCGATAGCATGTAGACCTATGGCTGATGATTTTTCAAGCTTTTCTAGTTCAATTGGATTTCTCGGTGGTCGAACAGATGCTCTACGGCGTTCATTTCTTCTGATTTTGATTTCTCGAGATGTTTGTCCGATGTATATCGCATCACATTCCAAGCATTTTATTTTATAGACACAATTAGATAGAGAATCTTTAGGGATTTGGTCTTTTATATGAACAAGGTTGTTTCGTAGTGTGTCTGATGTTTTGAAGAAAACTCTAATGTCGAGCTGATTGAGTACTCTTCTGATATCACCTGACGTCTCTCCTCTATATGGATAAAACTATTAGCATTAAATAGCGAAACGTCAGTAAAAACAAAATCGTTTTGTTTTTCATTCATTGGGAAATACAAAAAGTACCTTTATTATAATGAACACACATATCTAGTTGTAAATCTTATCTACTGTGATTATTGTTCAACGAGTGATTCCCTAGCCAATGTTAATTCGTCTATTGGTTATTATTTTATTATTACTATTATTCCTCTTGTTTATTGTGCACTTTAGATAATACCAAGCAGTGAATGTATCGCCTCAGTGACATTGTACACACCAATTCATCTTTCAAATAATAAGCCTAAGTAATTCATCAATTGTTGGAGAGAAAAAAGAGTGCCTAACATCCCGGAGAATAGTCAAAAAAAAACACAACAGCAATATGAGATTTTCGCCACATGTGTATTATTCTATTTTCTACGCTTGTATCTTTCTGCTTCTCTTATTCTCTTATCTTTTTGACAGACGCAGGATAATCATGACCAATAATAATAACTATTTTGCCATTATTATTATTTTACTAATTTTTATTAGAAAATGTCGGCTTTTTGGTGCCTCTCTGATATAATCAGCAATATAATGCTTGTACATAGACATTTGTTTTCATAAAAGTATAAATATAGACTTAAAAATCAATTTGGCTAGCGTTTATTATTAGTGATCAGTGTGCGACAGAGTGCATGTGGGCGTGTGTGTGTGGTCTCCTCCTCATCCTACTACTACTCATTACCGATGAGTAGTATATAGGTTGTACTTTTGAAATGAAGGTATACAGTCGTTTACAACTTCCTTTCTTTAATTATTCCATTTGATAATTTAAATTTCGAGATTCATAATGCTCGTTTGCGTATGGATCTTGTTTGTAACCTGATTCCAAAAGTGTAGAGATTGCTGGTATTAGATGATTGGAGGCAATCGGCAGGAAACCCTACTTCACCTAGGTTTCGTGCTAGTTGGCACTTACCAGTCAGCAAGGCGTATCTGCAACCACCTTGAAGGAACTCATATCCCTTCTGAGATTCGAATCCAAGTCACCTAGTTCTGCAGTGAGTCAGAGACGTTACCACTGGGCTATTCAGGCTCGTGATTGACCTCCTGTACTGACTAGTGTCCAGTCCTACAGGAGGCCAATCGCGCACCCGGATAGCACAGTGATAACGTCTCTGATTGCAGCACTGGGTGACGCCGGTCCTAATCTCAGAGTGGACCAGATGTGCTTTGCAGACTAGTGAGTGGCAACATGCGGGAAATCTATGTAGCGGGCTTCCTTTCACCCATCTAATACCAACAATTTACAGTGCACGGTGATGGTGAGACATCTTTCGGCATGGTGGCCATATTGCAAACTTGACTGATAGAATTCAGTCTGCACCAAACAAAGGACTAGACACATTACACCAGTTACTGACTAGTGTCCAATCAAAGTATGTAGATTACTCAGTATAACTAAAGATTGTATTTTGCTGTTTTGAGATCTTTAGGAGACAGTTTCAAGTGTTATTGGGTGGTGATAGTAATAATATAGGTAGTAGGTAGTAATAAAATAAAATTGGGGACAGGATTTGCAAATTCCGCTGGATCTGTTGGACTGATAAGAAGGTAGGCTGTATTATGGTTGAGGTTAGCTGGTAGCCAGTTGTAAACCGCTTATCAAATTGTGTTCAGTCGAGGACCTAAGCCCTGAGAGTTTAATTTCTCTGAAGGTGATTGTTTCATTTATCATAGCTATCTATCATTAGCTCCATTTCTTTAATTGTGCTTAAGTACGGATGAAAAGTATTGCATAGTGCTTGTCAATGTTGGTGAACATTGAATCATTTGTTTATTTGAACTGGTCTCCACTTTGGCGGGAGACAAGAAGGCTATCACTGCTTAATTGTATACTTTTGGTTGGCAGAAGATTGAAGAAATAAGATCAGAAGTATTATTGTGCAGTATATTAACGTTTATCTACAGACTTTGCACTCGGTAACAATTGCAAATCTCTTTCGTTATTGGTGGAAGAATAAACAATCATATTACTCTACCGTTTTCTGTTTTTCCGCGTCAGTTACCGTTCATAGTATTCTGCGTATTAGGCGTAGTCTTTTGAAACCAGCGATAGGTTCAGGATCTGTGAGATCTTAACGAACAATCGACAATGCTTTTGCATTCCTCTCAATTGCGCTACGTCGAATTTTAGTCACTGTATTTGAGCATTTAAGAATTTAATGAACAATCAAGACGCGTTTTACCAGAGTCAGAAATAAATCATTTTTCAAAATTGATGAATGATACATAGACCTAATTATCTACGTGTCATTTTTACATGTCTGTTTGTATTTCTCTCACTCCACTTATTAATTTATGACCTAATTTTCTCTCACTCTACTTATGACCTTTGAAATCCTATTGGTTGTTCACTGTCTTCATTTGTCAGTGACATTAGTGCTTCTCAAGGTCATTTTAAACGGACATAACGCAAGCGCTGTCAATATTTTTCGGGCTGTTGTTTTCAGACAGTCCAGTCTTCCCTTCTGTCTTTGCGACCAGGCGGTGTTGTTGTTGCTGTCAACGTGTTATTAGGAGAGAAGATTACTCAGCTCATTAAGTTAGTATTCGCTCACAGTCTACTAGGTCGTAGTTCCAGTCATAACAATGAAATTTTTCATCTGTTTACTATCCTTCTCATCTTCATTTAAGATTTGACTGAGAACTTCAGCCTATTGGGTTACTCATCAATGAGGATTTCATTCAGAACTTTCAAGCGTCAAATAAACTCGAAATTTACCACTGGTGTGCTACTAATCGTAATAGATATATGCAGTGTTGTAACGACAGAAGGTAAGAGTCAGGCATCAGTTCGTTTATTACGGAAATCCACAGATATTTATAGATTTTCATGTACATTATTATAGATTATTGTTAGCAGACAAACACAGTCTTCTGATTGGTTGTTTTTCACTGAAAGTTAATCTTTCATCTCTTTGTGGCTGTTTCGTGAAGGTCAGATCATCTATCTGCTAATTGTATCCGCCTACGCAAACAAAGTCTGCTGTGATTGGTTGTTGAGTCAGTTTTTGTTCTTGTTTTTCTCATGACCAATATTTGGGACGTAAACATTGAAGTAAATTACTGTCTATCAATTTTGGCTAGCAGACATCTCTTACCACAGTGTGACATCTTTTGAGCCATTTTAAGCCTAAGAACCATATTATTGCTTTTAGTGAACGCATCTGAGTGCATTGGTCACTGTGAACACATACATATGGTAAATTTGATACTTGAACTGTTAGGCAACGTTATGAAGGATTTATGATTGAAAATTAGTTGGCTGTCGTCTTTTTAGCTTTTATAGTTTGGATGTTTAGAGGATCTTTTGATTTATACTATCAGTTATCAAGTGTCAGTTCGCAAGAATTTGATTGGTTAAAGGTGAGATCACGAGTTGATATCAGTTAGAGAACCATTGAAAAACCAACAGGAAGTACTGGACAGCTGTTTCGTCCTAGTCAGAGACTTTACATCAGTATGCACCTTTTGGGACTGGAACTCAGGACCTTCCGGTTACAAGTCAAGCTAGCTCATAGACCATTCAGCCACTACGACCCGATTCAGTGGCCCATGAATTCCAACTTCCACCAGTTCGCGATAGTATAAGGCGCAACCGTCAGCCAATGTCATACGCAAGTAATTGTTCTCCTACTTGACTTGATGGACCCCACTGGTTACGACTCCTCCCTCGAACTCCAGATAACTTAATATATAGAGTAAGTCATTAGTAGTGACCATCCGATTAATTATCAGCTGCGTGCCCTTGAAGTACAAACGCAATCTGATAAAGTTCTTGGTTCACAGAGCAAGAGCATTTTCCTCGGATGAATTTCTTGATGAGGAACTTAATAATATTAAACGGTTGCTGAGTGAAAATGGTTATCCAGGAAAGTTTATTGATAAGAATATGAATCTAAAATCAAAGCAGCCCAACAGTTCCAAAATAGGCCTTATTCTTACAAATGCGAGATACTAACACAGCACCCTAGAAATGCGGTAAAAAGAGAATTCCCTGCTGCCGAATTACGCTGTGTATTCAAAACCACTCCTCTTTTGCGCTTGGGAGTAAAAGATAAACTGCTCAATTCCGCCTCTTCCATGTGTATCTACCAATTTAACTGCTCCTGTGGAGCCAGTTACATAGGCCGTACAATTAGGCGTGTTTCTCGTCGAATTTCGGAAAATCACGCTGCGTGGTTAAGCAAAGAACAAACAAAATCTATTCTCGGCGCTATTCTATCTCATCTTGTGGATACAGAACACAAGATTGACGTTAAACATGCTTCCAGGGTCATTTGCCGCATACCAACAAATCTCAATTTCGCCTTAAGAGTTTGACTACTAAATATTGCTGAGGCTGGTAGTTGGGATCCAGATTAAGAAGCCTAATTTGTGCATCCAAAAGAAGTTAGTTCAGACATTATCCTTACCGCTTGGTCATCTAGGTTTTAATGGTCCTGAATTTTGTGGAATTTTCCTAATTTTAGTTGATATTCTATTTGCTACTATATCTTTATTATTATTATTATCATTATAATTTAAGCATCTTTAATGAACTGTTACTCCATTGATCTTACTTTAAAAATGAATAATATTAAAGAAAAACACTGATATTGTTATTGACTACTAATCTAGAATATTCTATGTATATAAACATATGTATATATATATATATATATAATTGTAGAGCCAGGAGCGAAATTTATCGAAAAGGATATTTCTTTGCTCAATCATTTTGTGTTTTATAGATGTCTGAATGAATATTTTTGCTATATCAAGAATTAGTTTGTAAGGATTTGATTTGTTACAGGTTTCGATCATGAATTGACACCAGCTAGAGAACCATTGGAAAACCTACGTGAGGTTAATTTATCTCTTATCCTCTTGTGATATCTTCTAAAATGTGCAACTTAGGTAATCCAATAATTCTTTGGTTAGTTTATATACAATTCGAATTTTTTGCTCATGAATTCATTAAGACTGACTATCAGGGAGGGGTTCAGTGTAGGTAGGTATTTATACAGGATACTAGATCTACATCATGAAGATATTTAGAAATTCCATGACAGTTGATAAATCTGTGTTCCTGTTTGATTTGATTTTGAGCTGTGTCACCGGAGAACTTTAATTAGGAAATCCAGATCTACTACTGTTATATTATTATTATTGTTTCCTTTAATTCCTAGAGGAACATAGGGCTTCAGCCGTGCGTCTCCATTGCGTTCGGTTCTCTGCTAGAGTCTTCACCTGGCTCCAAGTCTGCCCACACGTTTCCTTCTCCTCTTCACATGACCTCCTCCAAGTCACCCTTGCACTGACGACCAACTCGCCGCTTTCCTTTCGCGGGTTCCACTCGAGCACTGGCTTGTCTAGTGATGTCACTTGATGGTTTCCTCAGAGTATGGCCAACCCATCTGCATTTATTCCTGCCTATTTGTTTCACAATCGGTTCCTGGTTGGTTCGCTCCCAGAGACGCCTCACTGTTGCTGATCTTTTCTGGCCGGCCATTTGATCTTGAATATTGAGCGAAGACAACTGTTAATGAAGTTCTGTAGTTTGTTTGAGATGCTCTTTATGACGCCCCAAGTCTC